GGTGCTACACAAACTGAAACATTTCTACCTGTCAAAGGCACGAGAAGGTGAAAATACATATGGCTGAGCCACTGCAAAATCCGGCGATTCACACGTTTAAAGTCTTGTCATAAATTACTTAATTAATGCACAGAGCTTAAATTGGCCTTCAAATGGTTCTTAGGACTTGCTTTACTGGCTCAGTGCGCTTACACGAAATCGTCAAAACTGTTTCAGGGTGCCTTCAAGTGGTGATAACTTGAAGAAACGCACTTTGCTCACTGAACGGGCAATTGAGGGCCTACAACCATCACTCAACCTTCATCTCAGCTGTCTCTAAAATTTCCTGAGTGAGTAGTTCACTATATTTCCCAATCACAGAGCAGGTTTGAAAGAGTGGGGCATCGCTATACAGCCACTGTCCAATTTCTCAGACGCCCAAAATTCCGCACATGCCTCCTAGACTCATTGTCAAGTTCCCCATAGAATCAATGCATAGAAAATTCCGAAATTCCAGACGTTTGTAGCTTTTGCCATTTTACCACTAACCGCAGACTCAAAATTGAATGTTAACATCCGGCTATTCGCTGATGATTGTATCTTGTACGATGAAACTAATTTCATTGATGATTACCATGTACTGAATAATGCACTCGAGTCTGTCTTTTGTTGGTGTGAGGAGTGAAAAATGACTCTCAATGCTAAGAAATCCGTTACGCTTACAGTAGCTAGAAAGAAAGCAATATCTAATTTCACGTACACTATTAATGACACACCTCTTACTCGCGTATTTAAACATAAATATTTAGGCATCACTTTAAGGCACGATCTTCGGTGGGAAACCCATGTCAACAATATAACCTCAAGTGCACTAAAGCGACTTTTTTTTTTTTAGTAGACGCCTTCATCTGGCACCCCCAAATACAAAGCTGCTGGCATACAAGATGCTTGTCAGACCAATGTTAAAATATGCCATTATTGTTTGGTTTCAGTACACAAAGGATCTAATTGCAAGAATCGAAGGGGTGCAGAGGAAGGCAGTAAGGTTCATTTATAATAAATATAGGCAAACGGATTCTCCTACAGAATTATTACACAAAGCTGGTTTGTCAACACTACAAAGTCGGGTGAAAATAGCAAGACTAAAGTTATTGTTTCAGTTAATTCATGGAGACATAAACATCGACGCGTCAAAACTAATCTCTTTCAGTCGATCTAGGTTAACACGTTACCGGAACTCTCAAGCACTTAATGAATACACTTTTCATTCAAACTGCTTTAAATATTCATATTTTCCCGCAAACCATAAGAAATTGGAACCAACTTAGCCCTTCTGTTACGAACACTTCATCTTTGAATGTGTTCTTAGATATTGTAGAAGCAAAGGTACACGCTGAGGAGTTTTTCTGAAAATTGTTGTTCTTTTTCTTTTCTTTTGTCCTCTTGTAATTCGTATGCAGGCTCTGTATATTGATAATGTGATTGTATCATTGTACATTTTGTCTTTATAGTTCTTGTAATTCGTAGTTTTGCAGAGATTTGTACCCTCACCTTGCTCATTGCTACTACTGCTTTTAATATATCGATTGCTTATTGTTTTGCATGCTAGAAATGATTGCTTCGTGTTTCTTTTCTGTATCATATGTATGCCCTCCCTGCAATGATCTCCTTGTGAGATCGGCAGTATCGTTAAAAAAAAAAAAAGTCACAATCGACGCTGCCATTTTCGTTATTTTCGCACCCTCGAAACTAAAAATGCCACAATCCAGCGCATGCCAATTCGTTGCCAGCCGTAGCCTCTGGCCGTACAAAGGCTGCATAGTGCTGTGCAGCCTGTGCTCCATGGAGGAAAGAAAACTGAGGAGAGGCCCTTGAAATGCAAGATGCAGAGCTAAAAATGTGTCAAACGTCACATGTTTTTGCAGGGCGTTGTGGGATTAGGAGGGCAAGCCGGCGTCTCGTGTCGTCTGCATCACCACTCATATGAACGTGTTGTTGATAGTCGACTGGAGTTTTGAATGTGAACTTATATGCAGCGTTTGCACTTCTAAGGTGATGCAATGTGTCAGAAGCCTACAGTGTTTCACTTATGTACGCCCCCAGCTGGAATTTACATCTTCAGTCTGGTCCCCTTTCCAAGATTACCTAACCACAATGCTAGAGTCCATACAAAACAAAGCAGCCCGGTTTATATCTCGCAATTATAGCACTCATTGCAGCGTAACAACATTAAAACAAGAACATTCTATTTCGCCATTGCACGTTCGTCGCTCTGTTGCACTGTTATGTTTGCTGCATAAATATATTCACAGCACAAGACGTTCTACGCTACCCCTAACAGCACCATTGCGCATGTCCAGACGCCTGCACAATCACCTTAGTTTCACTCGCATTTACGGCAAAACGAAGGCATTCAACTTATCGGCACTTCCTAAGGCCATATCATTATGGAACGATCTTCCCGACTGCATCGCCTCCATCACCGATCCAGATTCTTTTCGCGAACATGTGTGTAATCATTTTTCATTGCACTAATCGCTCTAACTTCACTGATGTTTGTAGCTGCAGCTGTGCCACTCATCTAGTTTCACACTTCTCTTTGGTTCTCTTTAGTTTTTGCTGTACCCACCGTTGTCTTGCAATTTATATTGGTAAACGCCTTCGTACGGCTAGCAGTATGTGTGTTTGGAAAATGCGTGTGTATGTTGTACACCTCGGCCTTCCGGTTTCTCTTTGATTTTTTTTTGTTATAGCCATTGTTCTTTCAGTTCTTGTTATTCTCCCAGTTTTTGTTGCTCAGTTGCACCGCCGTTGCTGCTCTCTTGAATTCTATACCTACGCCATCCGAATTTCTTTATTGTGTTTCGTTCATGTACCTTGAATTTCTTGTTATTCAAGCTTTCTGCATATCGGTAAACATTCGCGTATTACATTTGTTTGAGTGTCAGTGACTAGACACGCTTTGTCACGATGTGTTATTTTCTGTGTATTCCATGTTATTTATTGATGATCGCCCTATTACTCTTTGAAGTTTGTACCCCCCTTACTCAATGCTCTCATTGAGCTTGTAAGGTATCATAAATAAAAAAAAAATAAATAAGAAAGTGTGAGTTAGTCTTCATGGTTGCAGGCTAATTTTATATAGCTTGAGGTCTAAAGTGGTCAATTTCGAAGCTCGTGACCACTTCTTCGAAAACGGTTGGCACCGCAGCTTCGTTGTTTTCCTTCAGCACTGTGCTGTTGCGTGGATCAGCGAAGGAAGCCTATAATTCCCAAAAGAGAATGGCAGTGTACACGGTTATGTGAGCAATTTTTCTATACAATGGTCACAACAATCCGAAAACATGTGGCCCACTGCTCTCACCGGAGCTTACCAAGTCAAGAATTAGACGAGCCTGACAAAGAGGGTGATTAATTGTTTCAATTATTACTTCCTGTTTATGTTTTGCATGCGGTGACCTCATCGTTGGCCAAGTTTTTTTCTATATGGTTGCAGCCGGCCGACCCGCTGCTACTGCTGCGAATGATACTCGTGCGCACATATCGTGACACACATGGCAAAGAATGATTTGAAAGTACTTCATCTGGCTAAATAAGTAGCAAGACAAACAAAATACACGTCACTGTTACATTATGTTTCATGCCCCGAACTTATTGTATCTGCAGAAGATAACAGCCTGTCGTGGCGATTATTCGGCCGATTCGCGCCCTTGCTCTGTTGTATTCAATGGATTAAACCCAAAGTGCAAAGCTGCAAGTTTACAATAGATTCACAATATGAGCCACAATGAGGCTGTGAATGGCACACAGGCACTCCACAAGCGAGTATTGCAGCATGTTTGCTCATCGTTGATCAAATGGCAACAACGGATGCCGCCTGACGTGTCTGAAATCGGCTCATGCGGCTCGCCTCTCTCTTGCTGGCACTCGTGGCGCATGCGCAAGCCGCCGTAGTGTGCCCAACATTGCAAGGAGTAATCCTCTACTCTTCCCTGCTTCTGGCTTCCCTAAATGTGACGTAACGGCCTCTCCTCAGTTCATTCCATCCTCCATGCTATGCTCCGACAGTGGCAAAAGTTACCCTGTTTACATATAGTCTGCCATCGGCATGCTTGCAGACTCGTGGAAGGCAGTTACACAACAGACCCTCCGGAACTGTTTTCGCAACGAGTTTCATAGTGGATGGACACTGAGACAGCCGTCTCGCTTGAAGTGGATAGCGTGTGCGACAAACTTCCACCCGCAGACGTTGCCTTTTATGATCTGCACGTTGCCGATGTTTCAATTACAGCCAGGATAATTTTTGAGGGCTTCGCCGATGCTGACAAAGACCTCGAGCTGTGTGCTGAATTGATCGATGACGAAATCATTCATCAAGTTATGGAGGATTCTGGCGAGTCAGACACTGAGATTAAAGAGGCAGCACCTACACAGCCAACAAGCTCGGAGTTGACGCGAGCAATGACTGTCATTGGTGTACAGCGACAACATGGCGTTAACTGATAGCACACATCATCGTGGGCAAGTGGAAGGCCACGCAAAGAAAAAATAGGCGACTTTTCTTTCTTTTTTTTTGTGCCTAAGTGTTTACAAATGTAGTAGCGCCTGTCACATCATTTTTTTTTCTTTTCTTTCTTCCTTTCAGCTCTTTTTAGAGCCACCTAAACGATGCATTGGCTGAATTGCAATAGGAACTCTGTACTCCTGCCACACCCCTCTCCGTCAGCGAAAAATACCTATTAAAAAGTGTTTTCACTTGCATTCGTTTTTCAGCACTACGCGATTTTCCGGATGTTTTCGCCGTCCCTTGAGAGTCCGGGAAATCGGATGTCGACTGTACTCGAGGCAGTGCACACAGCTGCAAACAAGTACTTGTTGTGCTTTCTGAGGGTGTAGCCCCTGCTTGTCTGCTGCATTATCTTACAGCACTGCTCTCCTGCTGGAAAGCTTATCTGGTGGCGAGACAACCTGTGCAGCACATACAGCACCATTCCCAGGGATCTTCATTTCAAGAAACTCACCGTGCCTCGCTAGAACCTCCGGTGCGATGTAGTTGGGTGTGCCCACCAGGGACTGTGCTAAACAGCGCTGGTGCTCCCTCCTCCGTCGTCGCTCTAGTGGCTTGCTTCGTGAACACTGGCAATCCTCAGACCAGTTTTTGTCAGGCTCCATAGAGTCCTGGCGTGCGTGCTCTCCTGCAAAAGAAATGTTCGCTCAGCTCTTTGCAAAATGCACAAGCAAGGCTGGGCAGAGATATTTTGAAATTGTACCGCAATATGATACAAGGTGCTTGATCAAGAGGTATTTGAAATACACATGCAATGTGCTACAGCATTGATTGTATCCAATATGACACTCAAGGTACATCAATATGTACACAAGTTTGATATTGTAAATTTATATATTGTAGTAGCTAACGCCTATGCGCAAAAAAATGTTTGCTTGAAAATCTCTTGAACACTGCCAACTCATCTGGATGAAATGCCTGTTACTATCACAAAAGTTTTCTTTTCTGCTAGACCAAAGTATGTTAGTTTAATTCTGAAACAACTTATTGAGGTTGCTTGAGCTGGTTAACCTGACATCTCTATAAAAACTTCATGGTTTTGCTTGTTGCTTTTGTCATTGATGGGAGCTGCTGCTCTGCTAGCCAACCAGCTCCCTGGTTGCCTAGGAGTGGTGAGATGGAGCAGTTTCTAGAACCTTGATTCGGAGCTGTTAGTGGCATTCATTATTGCCACCTGGTGTTGTGAGCCGGCAAGCTGTGGCCAGCCGAAAAAGGCAAAGAAGACAACGGCGAGGAGTGTAGACCACCATACATGTTAGCGCCTTACTGTCCCTATACAGGGTGTCTATTAATTTGCTTTTTCGAAATTCGCTGACTTTTCCAGGTTTTTCAAGATGATTTGAAGCAAGTTCCATGACCCTTACAACTACTTGGAAAACTCTGTGCACTGAAAACAGACCCATGAGTGATAGAAAAAAAATCAGACGCTCTTATATAATAAGTAAATAAATGTACCACAAGTGCTCAGAATGTTCGGAGCACGTGCGGTAACCATGAAAAAATATGCATATCTGGCCAAAATGAAACCTCCGAGTGAGAGAGTAAGCAAGTTGGCTGTTTAATATTTAAAAGAACAAGAAAGCAAACACAAGAGTTAAAATTAACTGCAGCTAAAAGTTTAAAAAAGCCCACGACAGTCCTACAATGCAGCCAAAGCTGCTAGAAAACGAAGTCGCACCATCTCGTGGCATCAGTGTAAAAGGAGGATGCCGGAGTCCAGTCGGTTCCGCCACTGGAAAATATTCTAGTTCACTATAACAGTTACAGCCCAGGCCGCTTAACATGTGGATTGGACAAGACTGACCTGTATTTACTGACTCAACTATTTCGGCTGTGAATTGGATTGTATCTGATGTGATATGGATTGCTGTATTCACGATTGACTTGCATTCGCATCTAAATTGCACACCTTTAGTATATACTTTTCAGGAAAAACAAAAACACAAATATTCCTACTCGCGTGTTCTGTGCACCTTGCATTGAATAATGACTAACAACATCACAAGAATGAAGCCTTACTGCATAATTTTCTTTCTTTCATTCTTTTCTTTTCCACGACGAGCACATGCATGTTAATGTTTTATTTCTCTGGACTTAGAGTTCGAAAAAATCCTCAGATGCCTGCAATGAAAGCTAGCGGTAGCGTTTAAAGCGATGACGTTTGAACATGTTCTGGCAAGAAGGAACCTGTCAGGGCACAACGGCTTCCTCGATTACATAGATTTATCACAGATGCCGGCGGGTTATCTTCATTTGTGTACTCTTCTATGGATATAAGGCTAAAAAATAATCCCAGATTTAATAATACCATCTCGAGACACTGAATGAGTAATTTAAATGAAGTTACCCTTGAAACGCGAGCTACCAGCAATAAGTGTGTAGCTGAGGACGTTTGCCATTGCATCGTCAATAATAATGATGATAGTAATAATAATATTAAAAAAGGCATGACATAGCCCGGCAAGCCTCTGCTTACCGCTGACCTAGCCGAACCAGAAGGGCTTCAAGCCGAGCCAAATCATGGTCAAAACAAACATGCACAAATTTAACGATGTGAATTATGTTGTGGTTATGCTGCTCAGATATGCTGCTTGATATGCAGACGAAACAGACATCAACAGAGTGTATGTACGAACATGGAAGCTAGGGAATGGTTTAGACAACGTAAATGACAAGTTGCCAAGCAAAAATTTCCGCTGTCTTATTTTTACTTTAGGCTGCCACAACTGCAACAACCAGCACATCGGTGAGACCCCTGATTTCAAGGAAAGAGTTAAAAGCCCCCTCCCCCCCTCCTCTCATTCATTATCATCCAAAATCGACCATATACAAAAAGTTTATGTTCCTTGCTGTTAAACAGAACACAAATATGAGGTCAGGAAGCTGCGTAACCTTATATGCCCTCGCTAAACATGTGGTTTCTAAAGGCAGCCAAACTTACTAGTCAAGTGTGCCTGTTCTGGTCAAAAGAAAGCTTGTGTCATGCCTGCACCAGAAATACTAGCACATGCAGACAAGTGCACAGTGCCAACAGGAGTGATGGGACACTTCCAACAATGTGCTTACGGTGCTTAGATCACGCACTTAGGCGTACTTTATTTCATTTTCTAATTTTCAGTTTATTTTTTTTTTATAAAGCTAGAAGACGAACAAATATACAGGCGAGGGTGTCAAAGTAAAAAAACTGTAGTAGGACACTCTGCCTTTCTTATGGCTATTTTTGTGAACAAAGCTCCCGTAGCTGGTGCCATAGTGTCAGTAAACTTTGTAATCTATTGGTAGGTGTATCATTTTGCATCTTTACTAAGAAGCAACAGTTGTGCACTGCTTTTTTTACACAATTTTTAGCTTTTCACTGTAGCTGCAGCCGAAGGAGTGGCTATTTAAGCTTTGATCTATGGTAATGCTTATTTTTGTGATGATTGCACAGGCTACACAGTAAGTTTTCATGACCAAGCCAGATTTTAAGAAGTTCCCCAACTTTTCCATGACTTTTCCAGAAGAGTCCGAATTCCCCAACTTTTCCAGGTTTTCCAGGTTGGTAGACAAGGGGCGTGAGGCCGGCACCAACATGACCGTGCCACTCACGCATTTTCTTCTGCTAATGCAGGTTATCTACTGCTCCGTCGCAAATGTGCATCATCGTAATGGCAGCGCAAGCACTGAGCGACATACATCGGCGACTACGCTGTGCAGAACAGAGGACCGAGGCCAGGACGACGATTGCTGTGTGTGCCCGGCTACCCATTTTGGACAGTGTCAACTGCCGATCAACAAACCCTGGGCAGATGAAGGCCATGTCTACCAAGTACAAAATCAGGACTGGATCAGTACAGCGACGGGGCGTGAGGCCTGCACCAACATGACCGTGCCACTCACGCATTTTCTTCTGCTAACGCAGGTTGGTGGTTCTTCAAATGAGGGTTTTATCTTTTATGTATTCATGATGCCGGTCAAGCCCCGTAGTTCAAGCACGGATTTAAAATGCCGTGTTGTGTGTTGTTATACTAGACGTCGCTTTGTTTTACTACGCAGATACGCGTTTTATTTCTTGCTTTTGTTTCTGTGTGGTGACGTTGAGTTAAACCCTGGTCCGACTACGGCAGAGGCACTAAATCAAATATTGAATGGTCAGAAAGACATAGAGAGAGAGAGAGAAATACCTTTATTGGGTTGAAAAAGAATGGGTTTAGGAGCTAGATGGGTGGGGCCCCATGTCTAAGGCTCCACTGGCTTGCACCGCCTGCCGGACATGGTCCAGGAGTGCTAGTTACACCTCCGGGTCCGAGCTAGCGAGGAGTGCCTCCCATTGCTCCAAAGAGTTTTCCATTCTATACATACGCTGTAAGCGATCAAGTTCATTTTGCCGTTGAGCACAACGCCACGAGATATGGTAAAGGGTCGGTGGCGAGTCGCGACACCACGGACAATCGCGCCCATACAAAGTTGGATGAATTTTGTGCAGTCGTAATAAATTTCGATAAACTCTCGATTGAATTTTACGGAGATCTATGGCGTCTTCCCCCTTTAAGAGATTTGTGGGGGGTGCCATATTTCTGTCGCGTGCATCGCTGGTGAGCAAGAAGCTCTCGTGGAGCCATCCGAGCCGGGTCGTTTTCCTCCTCCTCGTGAAAGCCGTCGTTGCTGGGTGATGGTAACAGCGAGAAAGGCTGTTGCTACGCTCGGTTCGTGAGCGCTCGAGCTAGAGCGTCCGCCCTCTCGTTACCATGTCCAGGGCACAAGACCAACCTATAAGTGTTGCTCAATTCGCCGTCTAAAAATTTGCAAATGTTTAATGGGAGGCGGCCTTTCGTGAATAGCCGACACGCCTCTTGCGAATCTGAGAGTATGGTGATGTACGTCTGGCCGTCACTGCGCTCTCGACTTTTAATTGCCAATGCGATGGCGAAACACTCGGTTTTGGTAATCGATGTAGTGTACAGTGATGCGCTGGACGCTACGCTTCTCGTGTCACTGCTTACCATTGTGACTACGCAGCGCTTCCAGTTGTACTTGGAAGCGTCAACTTATAGCACGTTCTCATTGCCTCTGACTAATTTTCTGATCCATTCTACACGCCCCTCTCGCCTTTCGTGATGCCGCTTCTTGGTCATGTTCCTGGGGATAGGGGCGATCGAAATATGTCGTCAGACTGGGTCTGGTACGTCCACCAGCTCCTCATCCAAGTTTTTGGGGTTGCGGTGGTATACCTGCCCTCAGTTTGATCAGGCTAGGTTTAATAGTTCCAGAGTTATTCCGCAATCAAAATTAAGCCTAATCACTAAAAAGATTAAATTGGTAATATCACCTCGCAAACGCATTTAAATTTTGTCCGCTTAACATAAAATAAACCGCACCCCATAGGCTACCAGGAGGCCCAATTCCGTAACCTCTAGGCCCTTAATTAAGGTGGTAATTAGCAAAAAGCACATTTCATTAAAACAAATTTTCAAAAGGAGCTACAGACGCCACCAAAAAATAGCTAATATCTTCTTTTAGAACACAACAGTCCGGTTTTTTCCGTGTAAAAATAATTTTGATAGCTTAAGGTAACCGGAAGATACAGAGTTAGAAAGAATATAACGAAAACCGCTAATAAACGTGTGGCCTCCACGTCTTCCCTCGATC